ACTCCTCCACGCGAAGCCACTGTGGATCCGCCCGCCGTCGCCGTGGATCTGAGCACCGGCGAGGGAGAGAGTGAGGGAGATGAAGAGAGAAAAAGAGAGGGAGATGGGGAGAGCTGACCTACCTCGGCCCCGCGCCGCCGCAACCCCATCATCGAGCCTCGGACCACATGCGCTGATGCGCCTAGCGCCGCCGCGCCGCCGCGTGCCGATGAGGTCTCGCCATGCCTCGCGACACCACCTCACTCCTCGTGCCACCGCGGCCCCACGCCGTCGCGCAGCCCGGCTGCGCGCCTCCATGGCCGCACGCCACCGCGACCCCGCGCCACAATCGCCCTGGAGAGAGAGAGAAGGACCAGAGAGAGGCGGTGGAGAGAGAGAGGGAGGTGGTGGATAGAGGGGGACCGGAGGAGGGAGCCGCTCGTCCTTGCATCTGCGGCGCCTGGGAGAAAGAGGGCAGCGAGAGAGTGGGCTGGGAATGAGGTTAGGGTTTCATTGTGTTTATATACTCGACACTAGTATTGGGCTTCGAAATAGTAGCGGGCTGGGCCAGATTTTAGGAGGCGGGCCTTATAAAATAACCGCCTCGGTTAATGATTTACCGAGGCGGTTGCGTTATAATGCCCGCCTCGGTTAATAGATTAATGACCGCCTCGGTTAATCCAGCATTAACCGAGGCGGTTGAAATGCCTGCCTGCCTCCGAGACACTTTATCAAACGCTGCGCAAAAGAATTTGTGTAGTAGTGGGCGCTCCGGTGGGGTGCTCCGGCGAGCAGAGCAGCGGCCTGTGGATGGGCTCGGCAGACCCGTAGGTGGGCTCACTGGGCTTGTCCACATGTTTTATTTTTTTTATTTTTTTATTTGATTAAACGAGGGGGGCAACAACCAACCGCCTCCGTTAAGGCCGGATTAACTGTGACCTTTCGACGGAGGCGGTTGGGATGTCCACCTCGGTTAATCATTTTTGCCCGCCTAGGTTAAGTTTTCTGTAGAAGTGATCTGTTCTCAGGCCTTTTGCCGAGTGTTTGCCTATGCGGTCATCCATACTGCAAAGCGTCGTACATGTTTGGTTTTGAGCTCTAGAGCTATTCACAGCATGATTTCAATTTGGATGAAAATCAATTTCTGGATGTTTGTGTAATTCAGAGTCGTTGTAACGTGTTGATGTACCATGCTATTATCTAAGATAATTCTTCTTTTATCGGAAAAAAAGCGGCATCTCCGGCCTGCCGCTAGACTTTTTAAAGAGATTAGAAAGCACGTACAGTAGTGCAAACGTCAGAAGGCTGTGTCAACTCTCTGCTAGCGTACGCACCTTTGTGTTCGGTGAACTGTGATAATCTGTACATGTGTATCTCCAGCTAGCCGAGACCAATCAGGCAATCCTCAGCTTACAAAAACCTATATCACCTCGTCAAAAAGTTGGAAAAAAGAAAATATACAAAAGTGATCGACAGTCTTTGTTTTTATCTGATACTGTAATAAGGCTAATCCATTATATCATGGATGCATATTAATGGCCATTCTTTGAAGGGCACATTTCATATGGAATCTTAAAAGTTGTATTAAGCTGAAGAACACCTGCATCTTGACGGTGCACTAGTCAATGAAATATTTTTTTTTTTGAAACGAATCGATAAAATAATTTAGCACCACGCCATTCTTGGTGAACGGTGCAAGTGCAATACAATCTAGTTCCTCTGTGCCTAAATAAATAGATTTTTAGAGTTGTCTTAAGTCACACTTTTTAACTTTGACCGAATTTCTAGAAAAAAAACATTAAGATTTATGGTATCAAATTTGTATCATTAGATTTATCATATAATATATTTTCATAAGGTGTTCATTTTATTTTATAGATATTGCTATTTTTTCTATAAAGTTAGTCAAACTTTAAAAAATTAACTGCCACGATTTCTATGAATTAATTTATTTGGGGATGGAATGAGTAGTTTTATTATATCGTGAGATCAGCACCTCAACAAGTGGGCTCGATGGGTACATTCCTAGCCAATCCATCTATTTAGTTCGATGAGTACATGCCTTGACCGACTGCGTCAAAGCAGTCTCTTCTTTGGGAGGCAGCAGCTTTGCAGCAGCCTCTCCATCTTCCAGGTTAGTGATCCAACGGTTTTACTCCTAATTTTTTACCATCCTACTAGTTAAGAAGCTCTTGTGCATGCTCAATTCTTCAACTCAACTACAAGGGTCTGTTTATTTGAGCTGCAGCTTTTAATTCAAAAGCTGGCTTTCTAGCTTTTGATATTATTTCTTACTATTGGCCTTTTGCTATTAGCTTTTATAATAATTTTTTAGCTTCTCAGATGAGCAAGAGATGTACTCCTCTGTGTAGGTTTAACAAATTAGTCCAAGATCTGAACTTCAAGCCATCATGGATACAGCTTTCCGTTCCTAGTTATTCTTTATAACCTGGTCGTGTGGTGGATAGTCTGCTGATGCTTTGGGAGGTGAAGGCGAGAAGCCGTCTCTTCTTTGGGAGGCAGCAGCTTTGCAGCAACCCCTCCATCTTCCAGGTTAGTGCTCTTGTGCTCCCTCACTAAAATTTAGCATAAATCCCAAAGCAGCTGTGTCTTAATTCATTAAATTAGTAGTATTATCAGTTTACTTATGGGTTAGATCTGGACCTTTCTTTCCCAGGCGCAGGCCCAGATCCAGTCTAGCTCTGATCCATCCCAACAAACTCAAAACATTTCAGACCCATCCAACAAACTCAGCAGGTCATTGCTTGGTAGCGTTTCGTTTTGTGGCGGCCCTCATGTGGTTCGCCAGCGTCAATGCAAGTTCCTCCTTGCTCTCCTTTGATCTGCCGGCCGCATCCCTTCCCTCCTCCTGGGTTCACATAGCGTGCCGACGGGAACCTCTAATGACTGCAGCTTTCCAGACGGATGCTTATGCTCAGCTTTAACTCGTTGGCATACCCCACATGATGCCACATATATACCTTGACACATCCACTTTCATCCTCTTCCACCAATAACTCTTCTTCAAATCTTGATACATTTTATTTTCACCAGGATGCACTGTGTATCGAGTACGATGTGCCTCTCAAAGAATTTCATCCTTGACATGAGCCCTCTGTGGCACACAAATGCGTCCACGGAACCGAATGGCTCCTGAAACATCCATGCTGAAATTCCCAACTTTACCTTCACTTATGCGCCTCTTCACACCTTGTAATAATCGATCATGTTGTTGTGCCTCTAACACTCTCCTTGGTATGGCGGACTCAAGGATAACCCTTGTTTCTGTTTCTGCCACTCCCACATAGCAGTATGATATATCTATCTGCTCAAATTCAGTTATCAAATAATTCAATGTAGAGGGCATCGTCTTACGACTCAAAGCATCAGCCACAACATTGGCTTTACCTGGTGTATACTGGATGGTGAGATCATAATCCTTGATTAGCTCTAGTCATCTCCTCCGTCTCAGGTTTAAATCCTTCTGAGTAAAAACATACTTCAAACTCTTATAGTCACTGAAGATATCGCAAGGCTCACCGTATAAGTAATGTCTCCATATCTTCAAAGCAAACAAAACTACAGCAAGCTGTAGGTCATGAGTAGGGTAGTTCAGTTCATGCATTCTCAACTGTCTTGATGCATAGGCAATCACCTTCCCATCCTGCATAAGGACACACCCAAGTCCTACTCGTCAAGCATCAAAATAAACGGTGAAACATTTACCGAGCTCAGGTAGGGTGAGGATAGGGGTAGTGAGAATAGGGCATCGCTTGGGCCAGGCGCCCCCGGGCTCGACCTCCTTTCGCCCTCCTTTTGATATAACGCTGCTTCAGCCATCAAGCTGGCCCAAACCCTCGACGGGCTACTGTTGGGTGGGACGCCTTTGACGCACCACCCTGTCCTAGCCTTGTCCCAAAGCTAAACCCTCGGCCGCTCTTCTTCATCACACCTAAGGAAGCAGGCATTGTGGCTCCGTCCATCGCGGCCCAAGGGTTACCCTCGGCGGGACCCTCGTCACCTTGCTCAACGGCGCCGGCGAAGGGTGCCGCATCTCTTCATCCCGCAATGGTGTCCCCCAACAACGGACAGCGGAGAGGGTGCCTCGCTAACTCCCGGCGAAGGTAACTTTGATCCTGTGTCTTCGCAGATCAAGCAATGCCCGTGAGGTCGTTCGGACGGGAAGGAGTCTTCGCAGGGCCAGCTCCACCGCTGTGAGAAGGAGGACAGAAGACAGTGATCCCCGGAGACAGAGCTCCCTACGGCGTCAATAGGGTAGTTGGATTGGGCGCGCGGAATGTCCAAAGTGCCCTCGTACTCCTGTAAAGTGAAGCCTTGCTCGGTTGCTGGCTAGTTGTAATTTTACCGTGCCCCGGGAATGGCACAATAATGGATGATGAATTAATGGCCATTTACTCCAGAATTTATTATCATACTGTTCCGTGGGGTTATTTTCAATTATCTTTCATAATATAATGGCATATGCGGGTAACTTAGATGAAAAATTAGGGGTTACTTTATGTATTTTACATAATGACCGAAGTTTGTAATTCTAAAACATTTGATTCAATGCTATTTCTAGCGATAATGATTAGACCAGTCTCGGTGGGGTTTCATTTGGGTTTTATTTACATTTAATATTGTAACACATCAGCAGATTTGACGACTTGACAGGTTAATTATAAAGAAAAAGATAGATAGAGTTTCACAGAGAATGAAACTCGTTGTCACTGTTACAACACAAAAGGTGACGTGATAGTCTCAGTAACACCATGAAACTCACCACTAAGATTAGCCTTAGAGTCGGCCGGATGTTTCTGATTGTTACGATAATTTCTAGAATTTATCTTTTTTTTTCTTGGGCATCTTGTAGAATTAACGTGGTAATAGCAAGATAAGATATTTGGCTTATTTGGGGTAAAGACTAAAGAGTACATGGCATAAATTCTAGATTAGACGCATGTAACTCTGTGAAGAATTGTTGGAACTTATTAAATTTCTGTGCTGCAGGGGAATACACCATGGGAGATTTATTGCCATTCGCTTACCCGGAGATGCTCAAGGCGAGTTTTCCGGAGATGTTCAAGGAGAGGTCCACGGCCACTGATGTGCAGGTCAAGCTGCGGCGGGTCAATCCGGAGCCCACGGACAGTGTCTATGGAAAAATCGCTGCGTTCATTAGAGATAAGGACAGGAACAGCGCTTCCTTCCAAGTTGGGAGCATGCTCTTCACACGTACAGAGAGGAGTAGTCAGAATGTTGGCTGCTTGGAGACAAGGCTTGAGCTGGTGAGGTCTATTGTTCTGGTGCCCTCTGGTTGGGAACTTCAAGTACGGTTGGACCTGTATATTAAAACTGGCAACAACGGCGAGGTCATCAATTTGACTCATGATCTCGACTTCGACAAAGCTACGAAACGAGCTACGAAAAGCTGCTTTGGTGCCAAAGGTGACGAAGTGGAGGTCACCGCCTCCTGGTGTAGTAAGGTACGAAATGAAGATATTGGCAAGCAACTGAGTCCCCCAGTGGAGGTAAACATCAAACACTAAAGATATATTTATTGTGCCTTTCCTTCTTCTAACTAGATTCCTATGCTGTGCAGGTCGAAATGGAGTATGACCAATATCTAACTATAGTCTACACCATCGGAGATGAACTCTCGTTCACTGAATTCATAATGGTTCTACGTCGCATCCTCGCTGACCATCCCGACCGTGAGGATATCTTGGATAAGCACCCCAGATTGTTAAATCTCTCGTCCACCGGAGATCACCCTGTGCTCGCCAAGCAGCGTGGTCGACAGCCGAAGAGGTGGCTCCACATCAAGCTTAAAGTGGAGGGCAAGGAGGCCGCCTGCTGGACAACCCTGATCATGCGGGATGACAACTTGTACATCTGTGGCTTCATGAACAAGCAAGGAGTGTATGGGCTTGTCGACAATGAGAAGAGCGAGCAGATGTTCCCAAAAAAATACTATGATAAGGATGTGCAACGCCTAGAATGGACCGTCCATTACAAATCCATTCTGGGAGCTGGAAGTCAAAAGGAAGTCATAAACAAACTGGATAGCGCGCATCTGGGCAAGACCTTCGCCGAGCACGCCGTGGAGATGCTCTCGGGCTACACAGAAAATTGTAAGGAGGATGGCGCCAGGAGGGCTCTGGCAGGTCTGATTGTCATGATCTGCGAGTCCGCAAGGATGAATCCTCTCCATGACTCCATGGTAGCTGGATGGAGCAATGGCACGGGATTCACCAAGCAACTGATGCGTTACGTGTGGGGTTATTATGGAAAAAAATCGGAGGAGCTGCGGGCGTGGAAGAGTGGAGGGTACGTCCAAACGCCACAGGTACCGCACCCTATCGAGGAGCTACAAGCCATTTACCTCGTGCTCAACACCCGTCCACCTAATAAAGATAAAAACAATCAACTTGGGAACCCCAGCAGCGCCGGTAACGATGGTGATTATTTTACTAAGAAGCCCGGCAGCACCAGCACTGGCAGAGGTCGCGGCCATCCTAGAGAAAGCCGAGGGGGCCGCAATAATGGTGGCAGCGCTAGCAGCTCGCACAAAAGCAAGAGGGACTACAACAACAAAGGTAGCAGTGGCGGCCAGCAACGCCAACGCAAGAAGCCCTGCAACGATGGCAGCGGAGGGGGTCCTGCTAGCAAATCCGATTCGAGGAGGCTAGCGACGCTGCCAGCGGTGGCGGCCGTGATAGGAATTCAGAGCAGGCTAGCGATGCCGACAGCGGAGGTAGCCCTGATAGCCAATCCGCGGAGTCCGGTGATGCCGGCAGCTCTGGTGGGTCTGAGGAGACCGGCGACTCCGGCTCTAGTGGTAGTGGAGGCAACAGCAGTGGCCAACCCGGGGACGGGGAGGCTGATGACGACGCTCAGTGCCTTGGTAGCCCCCGGGTGGAGCTGCTGTCCATGCGTGCAGACCTTGGGGTCAAAGGCACGAAAATCATCGTCTTTGACGGGATACGAGGCCAGATCATCTACACCAAGGAGGAACAAGGAGAACAGGTACAATAATGTCTGTCTGGTCTGGTATACCTATACAATCCATACGAATCTTATCACACATCCAATCAATATTAATCGATCAGTGCATGCATGTAGGGGACAATGGTGGATCTAGTGCTGACTGGACCCTACAAAGGCATCTCGGCGTACGGGTGCTTTGCCATTAGTATTGACATCCCAGCCCCTGCTGCGGGTAGCAGCGGTGATCCTATCCAATGGGAATGGGACTGCTACGACCCGAAGTACGCAACCCAAGTTGATAAACCACCCGTGAGCCACACCATCGGCAACGTAGCTGAGGTGACCTACGCGGTAATGTCCAACGCCCGGGAGGCCACGGTGAAGCAGGTCAAGCTACGACTCAAAGATGGGCCCACCAGCCATGGTGGCATCAGTGGTGAAATCACTGCGCCCATTGATGGTTTCAAAGACGAACACAAGAGCGTCCTCTTCAGGTGTGGCAGGGAAAAGGTTCAGCGTTTGTCCACTACCGACGACAACTCATGTTTCCTTCTTCAGCTGGCGAGGAATGTGGTTGCAGTGCCATGCGGCAGTGCGCTTCACATAGAGGTGAACCTCCAGATTGAAACTGGCGATGGCAAGAAAGTTGAATTCAATAATGTTCGTCTCCGCTTCGCCAATGGAATTAGTTCGAGTAAAAGAAAAACTAGCGACGACGGTAACGAAGTCGAAGTTGAGGTCACCTGGTATCCGGAGGTAAACTTTATATATATTGAGGAGATTTGCAAGCACTGCACTGAACATCGACGACACTTATATTTATTATCACTTATCTTCTTTGACGAATAATCATCTCATCTATTGATTAACAATTATACTGCAGATCACACGGCTGTACGAAACCCGAGAAGAGATTGATCAGCCAGATATAAAACTCCCAGCGGAGGTAAACATTATTGAACTGATTGGCCGGCACTAGCTAGATGGTAGTTCATGGCATCTGCTTGCGCCAAAGACATCTCACTACTACAGTTTGATTTGTAGAGGCCACTAGAAAGCCTCAATAGAGGCGGTTGTCCCAGCCACCTCTTTTTTTCTGCCTCGATTTGTAAAGGCGGGTGCCTAGCAGCCTCTAAAAAAGGAATAGGAGTTGCCTCTAGAAATCAATTCGTAGAGGCGGCTCATTGTTCGCAATTCACAAATCTAGGCTGAAAAAATGGCAAAAAAATCTTTTAATCCGAGGGGACCATACCAGGCAGACCCCACCAGTTGCTAGTCGCACTATTTTTCGCGCGCTTCGCAGCCCGCGACCTGTGGCTTCTTCGCGCAGTCCTCTCCTAACCACTCCGCCATAGAGCACTTTGTGCCAAATGGGATATTCGCCCTGGTCATTGTATCTACATCCAGTTTCGAAATGAGTATTTAGAACATTGAACACACTTATATTAATTATATCACTTTTGTTCTTTAACGAATAATCATCTCATCTATCGATTGACAATTATGCTGCAGATCACACGACCGGAGCAAACCAGAGAAGAGATTGACCACCAGCCAGAATTAAATCTCCCAGCAGAGGTAAACATCATTGGACAGATTATTGGCCAGCACTACTTGAACTGCTTGCGCCAAACATTGAAGGCATCTATTATCACTTTGCTTCGTCTTTTTTAACTAAATTCTCGTACCGCAGGACAAAAAGATTTTTGGAAATCTGGTTGAAGTAGTCCACACCATCGGGGATGAAGCGTCATTCACTAAATTCATAATGGATCTACGTCGCATTCTAGCCGAACACCCAGACCGTGAGGATATCTTTGAACTCCGCCCACTGCTCGCGAAGCAGCATGCTGAACAACCGACGAGGTGGCTTCACGTCAAGCTGCAAGTGGAGAGCGAGGAAATGTCGTCGACAACGCTACTGATGCGGGATGACAACTTGTACGTCTGTGGTTTCATGAACCGGATTGGAATTCTTTTCAAGCTTGTCGACAACCAGGACAACGAATCCTTCCTCCCTGAAGGATTCCACCTCACCACAGACCTCAAGTTGGGCGTCAGTTACAATTCCTTGCTGCAGGCCAAAAATAGAGATGATGTCGTGAGAAAACTGACCGCGGCACAGCTAGGCAGTGGCTTCGCCAAGGACGCCGTGCGTGTGCTATCGAGCCACCCGAATAAGGTGGCCGGTATCAGTATGAGCATCGAGGTGGCACTGGCGGGACTCATCTTCATAGTCTGCGAGTCCGCAAGGATGATCTCTGTTCACAAATCCATTGAAAAAGAGTGGAGCAACGGCAAGGTGAATATTCACCAAGGAACTAATGGAAAACGTGTGGAAATACGGTGAAATGTCACGCAACCTGCAGGCGTGGAAGAGTAGAAACTACACTCAACCGCACCGTGTTTCAGAGCTACAAGCCACTCACCTTGTGCTCAACACCTTGTGCTACAACCTACGTGATGATTACACCCAAGGCGATAGCCGACCCCGAGTGGAACTGTTGGCCATAAGTGCCGACCTTGGGGTCATCGGCACGAAAATCATCGTCTTGGATGGGAAACGAGGCCAAATCATCTACAGGCACGAGAAGCAAGGAGAACAGGTATATATATTATATACACTGTACTATTACACTATTGCTATGTTTAATGTTTAGTATCAATCCATGCATTCACATATATCAATCAACCGGTGCGTCGTGCGTGCATTTTGTAGGGAAGAATGGTAGATTTGGTGTTGACTGGACACTACACAGTCATCTCAGGGTACGGGTGCTTCGCCATCAAAATTGACATCCCAGCTACCTCTCCCATCAAATGGGAATGGGATTGCTATGACCCCAAGTACGCTGCCCAAGTCGACGGACCACCCGTGAGCCACATTATCTGCAATCCACATGACAACCGCGAGGTAGCAAAGGTGACCTATGCGGTGATGTCCCGCGCCCGGGAGGCCACGGTGCAAGTCAAGCTGCGGCTCAACAATGGGCATAGCCCTGATGACGTCTCCGGTGAAATCAGAGCCTTCGTCGGTGGCTTGAAAGTCCCGATCGTCCTCTTAAGCCGTGCCCACCAAGGGATGGGCCAGCGTTTCTCCTCTACGCACAAGGACTCATGGTTTCTTCTTCAGCTGGCGAGGAATGTGGTTGCGATGCCATGTGGTGAAATGCTTCGCATAGGGATAGATGTGGACCTGCAGATTGAAACATCCAAGAAACATTTGAAGGCCGATGTCTACATAGAGGACGGGATTCGGAGGCAAATACTTGTAGTCGATGGTTTCGAAGTTGAAGTGAACGTCAGCTGGTACCCAGAGGTAAACATCAAATAGATTGGCCAGGGCAGCACTAGCTAGTCGCTTGCTTGCCAAACATTAATTGAAGACATTTGTTATCACTTCCCTTCTTTTTAACTAAGAAATTTCCGCGTGCTGCAGGTCAACATGCCTCCTGTGGGTCACCCTGAATTGGTGTATACCATCGGAGATGATGAAATGTCGTATATTAGGTTTATAATGGCTGTCCGTCGCATTGTCGCCGACCACCAACATTGCGAGGATATCTTGGGTGCCCACCCTGTCTCAAATCTGCGCTTTACCCGACAACACCCACTGCTCTCCAATCATTACCGGGACAAAAGGTATCTTTACGTCAAGCTTCAAGTGGCGGCCGAGGAAACGTCGACAATCCTAATAGCTATCACGTCTGACGACTTGGTCGTCCATGCCTTGAATAACCGGAACGAATTAGAATATTGGTACAGCATTACAAGCTGGGGCTGCAGTTACGACCGTATACTGCAGGTCAGCACCGCGGACTGGGAGAAAGTCGTGGATAAACTGAACTCCGAGAGGCTGGGCAAAACCTCCGCGGTTAACGCCGTGCGGGTGCTCTCGCGCTTCAGCAAACGCAACCTAGTTTCCGCAAATGGTGAGGCTGAGGCCAGGCTGGCACTAGTGCGCCTAATGGTCATGATCTGCGATTCCGCGAGGATGAATCCTGTTCTCGACGCCATTGCTGGTGGCTGGAACAACGGGACCGGATTCACCAAGCAACTCATGGATTACATACGGTACTGGGATCTCATCTCAACCGCTCTGCGGGACTGGAGGGACAGCAGATACCGTAGATGGGAAAAAGATGACAATCTAGAGGGGATCGGAATCAAGAGCCCAGAAGATGCACTAGACGTCGTTCACCTTTGTTCAGCTGAACGGATGAATCGTTCTTTGTCGCGAACGGACCTGCCAAGCATGTCGTCGTTCTGGTGACAAATTAAAATAAGGGCCAAATCAGGTTATCCCTTTCCCTTTTCTTGTGACAAATCATGTTGTGCGTGTATTGTTTGTTGATCATCATCGTGTGTGGCCTGGAACGGTAGTCACTGTGCCAAATAAGGGCCGTGCGCCCCTGCATGTTTGCCTTATCAGATACTCTTTTTTCTTTGTTCCAAATATTTCAAATCTTGTCGTTCTATTGGTCGAAAAAAAAAATCTTTGTCGTTCTGGTCCAGTGTGTGTGCCTGCGACCATTTGATAAGCTAGTGTTTGATTTGATCATGTAAAACCAGACTGTAACGAGTATCGGGAATTTCGTAATGCAAATGTAAACGGTATTTGGTCAGCATGTAACGGTTTGGAACTAAAATAACACTGCTTGTTATGTTTGTCCTAGCTGTTATTGCAGTCTGGGTCTATATATGTCCTGCTTTCGGTCGTTACTCCCGGTTGAAGCTGCCAATGCACTTTCTTTATCTACCTGTTCCTTTGTTTTGTTTACCTCAAACCTTTAGAAATGCTAAACACCACTCGGGTTCACGACAATACCCAAGGCAATGGTCGACCTCTAGTAGAGCTATTGTCCTTGCGTTCCAACCTTGGCGTAATCGGCAGGACCATCAATGTCTTCGACGGGAAACGAGGTCAAATCATCTACAGGAAAGAGGAGCAAGGAGTGGAAAAAGGTATATATATCTATCATATCTACTACTGCGAATACAAGGTTGATACGTGCCCTTTTGGTTCGATTTTATGATGAGTAATTGTCAACGAGCTGATGCCTCGGATTGAGTTTGGTGACTAATCATGGCGTGAGTGGGGTGTGGAACATGTCTCTTGGCTTGTGGTGCATAGGTGTGGAGCTCGGAGGCGGCGGTCGATGGTGAGGTGAAGGTCAAATAGGTATGTGCCGTGCCGATGGACTAGGAGCGGTGAAGGACGGACGTGAGGCTTCGACCGAGGAGCCAGGAGGCCGGGTGATCAACCGCGGTGGCCGACACTTGGGGACATCGACAAGCGCAAGTGTACATGGGAGTTAATCGTGTTGACCAAGTCAAGACGGTGGCCGGGCGAGTCGAGCGGAGGCTCGGGAAGACTTGGCGGCCAGGCGATTGAGGACGCAGTGACACGTGTCGAGGTGCGGGCAACGCGTATAGAGTACGCTACTCGCGGGGCGATTTGGTGGTTTGGGCCTCAAAATCACCGGCGGACGGTTTCCAAGTTTGGTCCTCAAAACCCGGGTGGAGGTTCTGAGGAGGAACGGGGGCGGCACGTGGCGGAATCACAGAGGTTGCGTCAAGGCGAAGCAAATCTATGAAGGAAGCGTGGCCGTCCGATCGACAGAAAAAAGAGTTGGAACATTATGCCATCAGGTCAAAGTGGTTCAGTTCAAAATATCTATGAGCAAAATTGAAACTATATAATAGCTTTAATAAATAAGATGAGGGTGCCCCAATCTCTCTGAGCTTTAATAAATAGGTTTTCGTTTTTTCATTTTTTCCTCGATTTTCTCTCCCGTTAGGTGTTCTTGATAGAGATCCACAACTGAAATTTGTGGTTTTGTATTTTGAGATTTTTATTAGGAATAGAGGCCCGAATCTCCTCTTGTCCTCCGGATGGAAGGATTCAGCTCGTGTGTTTAGTTCTTGCCCGAGTTCCTACTGTTCCCGTTTTTCCCCTTTCTTGTCTTTGGTCGATTCGAGTTGTTCTGTGAAGTTTGTTTGGTTAAATTGATGCTTTGACGAGTAATGAACAATCTCTCCGAGTGAATTTCATCAATTCCACTCGTGCATCAAGTTCCAAGCCGATTTGCGTGTTTTGGTAAAACTCGAGTTTGTGGCCACGATCTGAATTTCCCGGGGCTTGAGTTGATTTCAGGTGATGATCTCCTAGGAGTAGCTTCTCAACTCGTTGGTGTTTACCTGTGCAAATTTTGCGAACGAATTATGGTGATTTGATTGGGTTTTTCGTCAATTTTTGCTGCGCCCCCTTCTCTGCTCGAGCCCGTCGTTCTCTCTGTTCGTGGCGCTTGAGTAGCGGTCGGGTACAGGGGTGTCGACACGTGCAGACCCGTGTCCGTTCCTTCTCCCTCTCTCTGTGGCCGCTCCTTTGCTTGCTGCTCGCCGGTTTTCAGAGCCGATCAGGGTTGCTCGGTTGCATTCTGCTTCCACAGGTGGTCCCCAGTCTCTCTCCCGTCGGTCTTTGCTGTTTGCAGCTTCGAGCGGTGCAGCCCCTGCTGAAGCACTCCTGCAGCTCGCCCTTCCGTTTGTGTGTCGAGCACTGCTAGCAGCTCATCGGTGCAGCCGATGCTGGTCGGTTCCCCAGGTTGAGGTGTCGGCGTTTCAGGAACTAGGCACGGGAGGTTTCTCTGTGTTTTTGGTTCGATTCAGCAATCCTACAGCAGGAGTAGCAGTTCACGTGTTTTAAATCTTCAGGCTTTTGGAGGTGTCACACTCAAGCAATAGTGTTTGGAATATTAATTCCTTCTAAGCAAATTGTTGCTTGATTTCTTTGTCCTATTGCTTGAATAGGTGCTCTCGGCAGTTTTCTTCTTGCAGTGAGCTGCTCTTTCTCTCTCTGTTCTCTGCTGTTCGTGCGGTGTGCAGCCCCACCGCGTCTCTCTTTCTCTGCTGGAATTTCCAGCCCTTGTGCCTGAGAATTTCCGGCCCTACCGTGCTATGTCTTCCGCGTCCTGCCTGTTTGAGCTTCGTTTTGCATTCCGGTTCTTCTGTGGTGTCCACCAAATTGTTTGAGTCGTGGACATCATTTTTATTGCTCTGAGTGTTTGGCGGTGATTTTGGGACAGTGGCCAAATATTTCGAAAAAAATTTGAGGCTACCATTCACCCCTCTGGTCGCCGTTTTCGATCATTCAACTACTGCTACTAATAATGCCTCGTAATAACCATCCATATATCTCTTGATTTCCAAGCAATATTTTAATCAAGTAGTGCATGCATGTAGGGAGGAATGGTCGATTTGGTGCTGACTGGACCATACACAAGGATCTCGGTGGCGTACAGGTGCTTCGCCATCAGAATTGACATGCCCCCACCGGCCACCGCTCCCATGAAATGGGAATGGGATTGCTATGACCCCAAGTACGCTGCCCAAGTCGACGGAGAACCCGTGGGCCACATTATCTGCGCTCCACATGACAACCGCGAGGTAGCAGAGGTGACGTTCGCGGTGATGTCCAATGCCCGGCAGGCCACTGTGCAGGTCAAGCTGCGGCCCAAAGATGGGGCCAGCCGTGGTGGCATCATCAGTGGTGAAATCACTGCGGTCATCGAAGACTTCAAAGACGGAGACAAAATCGAAGACAAACACAAGAGCGTCCTCTTCAGGCGTGCAAGGGAAAAGGGTCAGACATTCCCCACTACCAAAGACAACTCATGGTACCTTCTTCCGCTGGCGAGGAATGTGGTTGTAGTGCCATGCGGTAGTGCTCTTGACATTGAGGTGAAGCTCCAGATTGAAACTGACGACAGCAAGCAAGTTCCATTGAATGTTCCTCTCAGCTTCGATAATGGAATTTGTTCGAGTAAAACTGGCAACGGCAAGGAAGTCGAAGTCCAAGCGGAAGTCACCTGGTACCCGGAGGTAAACTTTATATATATTGAGGAGATTTGCAAGCATGCACTAGCGGCGTTGAGCCGAACATTGAGGACATTTATATTAATTATCACTAATTTTCTTCTTTAAACGAATAATCATCTCATCTATTGATTGACAATTAATATACTGCAGATTACACGGCTGGAGGAAACCCGAGAAGAGATTGAGCAGCCAGAATTAAAGCTCCCAGCACAGGTAAACATTATTGAACAGATTGGCCGGCACTAGCTAGTTGGTAGTTGATGGCATTTGCTTGCGCCAAACATTCAAGACATCTGTTATCACTTTGTTTCCTATTAGTTAACTAGATGTGTGCCTGTGCGGTTGCAATGGATGCAACATAATTTGAATGAGATGTTTGTTAGTCAAGTCAAAATCAAGAATGTATCAATTTAATTTTTCACGTGTATTATACCATGATAATGTCTAGAAACACATTTATTATCGTAATGAATCTGAAATAAAAGCTAGGCTTGGAGCTTGTTGTTTGAAAGTTACGACAAACATCAGTTGCCTCAAAGAGTGAAAATTTATTGCTAGGCATCGAATTGAATTTATCCATGCTCTGTCTTGCCCGAAACATGTATACTCGGACTTATAATATTCTAGCCCGCATGAGGCGTGTCAACAATTCATTTTTGTCAACACGCAACGCGAAGGACGACGAACGAGATTTGGATCACGATCATGATCATTGCGTGGTGATATTCCAATAAATTCCTTTCTCTTCCTATAATTCTCTTTCCGTTTTATTCCATTTTATTTACTTGCCTTTCAGTGTCTCCATGCGGTGATTATTTGCCTGCCGGTGATTATTCCGGAGGCGTGGTTGTGGATAGGGATGTACATAGATGGCATCAGGATTTGATTGTTGTTTTTTTTCGTGTGATTTGTCTGATTTTCCTTGAAAGATAAACAATACCATAGATCTTGGAGCGCTGGGGTGCACGTAATTGGGCACAACAACGTCCTACAGGTGGACGTTAACATTTCCCTTATTGTTGATTTTTTCCGTGATCTGTGCTTTCTGGATTTGCCGAAAAGATAATAATACCGCGACTGCATGTTGGAGCGGAGTGCACGTGCATGCATCCATGCATGGAAAGACCTAAAGGAACCTGTGAGGGAGGAGTGCAGGATAAAGCCGGGCAGAGCAGCCATGCAGGGGTTGGGGGAATTTCCTTTTCTGCATCAGGTAGTCATGGATCGCATGAGTGTTTTGGTTCTGCCGGGTAGATGTTGACAATCCGTATGTTTTAGTTGTAGAGATTTTGAAAAATATTCTCCAACTGCAGGACGAAATGATGTTTGGGAAGATGGTTGAAGTAGTCCACACCATCGGAGATGAAGCGTCATTCACTAAATTCATAATGCATCTACGTAGCATTCTAGCTGAACACTCAGACCCTGAGGTTATCTTTGAACTCCACCCAATGCTCGCGAAGCAGCATGCTGAACAACCGAAGAGGTGGCTCCACGTCAAGCTGCATCACTACCGGAAACCGGCGATTTGCCGAGTGTATTTTATCGGGCACTCGGCAAAGACCGTGTTTGCCGAGTGTTAGAAAAATACACTCGGCAAACAAAAACACACGGCAAAATACGTCTTTGCCGAGTGTTTTTTTCTGACACTCGGCAAAGAGGCATTTTGTCGTGTGCATTTTTTTGGTCCTCGGCAAATCAGTTTTTCGAAGCAATTTTTGAGGCCCTAAATGAATTCAAATGAAAAACTTTTCAACTACAAAGTTGTATAACTTCTCAAGATCTACAAAGTTTATTTTGGTCATTTCTTCATTTGACAAAGCGACAATAACGTTGTTCATAAAATCTACATCACTCATATCTCTCATATTAGTTTCATAAAAGTAGAAGACAGATATATAAGATTTGTGAACAATGTTACTACCACTATGTCGGATGAACAAATGACCAAAATAAACTTTGTAGATCTTGATAAGTTATGAAATTTTGTAGTTGGCAACATTTTGATTTGAAATCATCTTGTCATGCAAAAACAACGTTTGCATTTGAAAATTTTAAAATTTGAATTTTTCAAAAGACCTCGGATGGAAAAACTTCCTAAATGAAAATTGTAGATCTGCAAAAGTTATGAAACTATGTAGTTGATAACTTTTTGATTTGAAATCATCTTATCATGCAAAACTACGTTTGAATCTCTCAAATTTAAAATTCAAATTTTTCAAACGACCTCGGATGAAAAAACTTACTAAATGAAAATTGTAGATCTCAAAAAGTTATGAAACTTTGTAGTTGACCACTTTTTTATTTGAATTCATTTAGGGCCTCAAAAAAGCAATTTACTCTCAGTTTGCCGAGTGCCTTTTTCTGGCTCTCGGTAAATCCGTATTTTGCCGAGTGCCTATGTTTTGGCACTCGGCAAAGAGGCATTTTGCTGTGTGCATTTTTTTGGCCCTCGGCAAATCAGTTTTTCGAAACAGTTTTTGAGGCCCTAAATGAATTCAAATGAAAAACTTTTCAACTACAAAGTTGTATAACTTCTCAAGATCTACAAAGTTTATTTTGGTCATTTCTTCATTTGACAAAGCGACAATAACGTTGTTCATAAAATATACATCTCTCATATCTCTTATATTAGTTTTATGAAAGTAGAAGAGAGATATATATATGATTTGTGAACAATGTTATTACCACTATGTCGGATGAACAAATGACCAAAATAAACTTTGTAGATCTTGAGAAGTTATGAAATTTTGTAGTTGGCAACATTTTGATTTGAAATCATTTTGTCATGAAAAACGACGTTTGAATTTGAAACTTTTAAAATTTGAATTTTTCAAAAGACCTCGGATGGAAAAACTTCCTAAATAAAAATTGTAGATCTCCAAAAGTTATGAAACATTGTAGTTGGCAACTTTTTGATTTGAAAATATCTTGTCATGCAAAACTGCGTTTGAATTTCAAAATTTTAAAATTCAAATTTTATAAACGACCTCGGATGGAAAAACAACCAAAATAAACTCTGTGGATCTCGAAAAGTTATGAAACATTGTAGTTGGCAACTTTTTGATTTGAAAACATCTTGTCATGCAAAACTGCGTTTGAATTTCCAAATTTTAAAATTCAAATTTTGTAAACGACCTCGAATGGAAAAACTTTCTAAACTAAAAGTGTAGATCTCGAAAAGTTATGAAACTTTGTAGTTCACAACTTTTTTATTTGAATTCGTTTAGGGCCTCAAACAAACAATTTACACTCGGTTTTGTATAATATATTGGGAACTAAAACGGAATCTAGATACAAGTGACAGTGTTGTGTAGTGGTAAAGTAGGTTTGTATGTAGCAGGAGGTCTCGGGTTCGAATCCCGTCGGCCACATAGCCGTGAAATTTACGCGAAAAAGCCGGAGATGGATGGGCGCTGACCGGTGGGGGCCTCCATCAATTAAAAAAAATTTACATTTTTTTTGGATAAAAATTCTTATTTTTTTCGGTTCCAACTTTGCCGAGTGTCCGCCCTTTGCCGAGTGCCCGACAAAAAACACTCGGCAAAGACGTCTTTGCCGAGTCATTTTTTACCGAGTGTAATTCGCCGAGTGTTACACTCGGCGAACAATTCGCCGAGTGTTTTATGCCTTTTGCCGAGTGTTTGGGACACTCGGCAAACTCAAGGAGTCCGGTAGTGCATGTGGTGGAGGGCGAGGAAGCGTTGTCGACAACCCTACTCATGAGGGATGACGACTTGTACGTCCATGGCTTCATGAACCAGCAAGGAGGAGTCTGCTGTTATGAGCTTCTCGACGACAACGATGGCAGCGTCGGTATGCTCCCAAAAGATTACAATCCCAAACACCTAGCCTGGGGCATCAACTACAGGAACATACTGGGTGTCGATCGCAAAGAAGCAGTAGTGGATAAACTGGAATCCGCAAAGCTGGACAAGACCTTCATGGTTAACGCCGTGCGAGTGCTGTCGAGGTGGAGCCACACTGCATTTCGGAGCTGCAAGCCACGTACCTCGTGCTCAACACCTGGTTACCTGGCCGAGCCCGGGTGGAGCTGTTGGCCTTGTTCATGCGTGGCGACCTTCTGGTGGAAGGCATCAAAATCGTTGTCTTTGATGGCAAACGAGGCCAGATTATCTACACGGAGGAGCAAGGAAAAGAAGAGGAGAACCGGTATAGGAGTACATAAATCATGTCCAATGCCGTGTGTGTGTGTGAATCTTTTTCGCATCCAATCTACTGTTATATTAATATATGACTGCATGCATGTAGGGAATGGTCGATTTGGTTCTGACTGGACCCTACAGGGGCATCTTGGCGGAGTACGGGTGTTTCGCCATCAAAATCGACATCCCAAGGACAACATCTACTCGCAGCGGCAGCGACGAGCATCCTCCCAGTAGATGGGAATGGAATTGCGATGACCCAAATCACGCTGCTCAAGTGGATACAATGCAACCCGCCCACGGTATCATTAGTTCTCCAGACGGGCCCAAGGTAGCTGAGGTCACCTATGCCATGATGTCAGATGCCCGGGAGGCCACTGTGCAGGTCAGGCTACGACTCAAAGGTGGGAACATCGCCAGTTGCGTCAGCAGTGGTAAAATCACCGCCCTCATCGATGGCTTCGACGTCCCGAGCGTCCTCCTCAACTGTTACTCAGAGGCAACGGGTTGTCGGTGTTTGTTGACTACTTCAACCGCTGGAGACTCATGGTTCCTTCTTCAGCTGGCGAGGAACGTGGTTGCAGTGCCATGTTGTCGCGTGCTTCACATAGATGTGAACCTGCAGATCAAAACTGACGACGGCATGGGAATTGAACTGAAAGCTCTTCTCAGCTTCGACAACAATGGAATCCGTTCGAGTAAAACTGACGACGGCAATGAAGTCCAAGTGGAGGTCACCTGGTACCTTCTCAGCTTCGACAACAATGGAATCCGTTCGAGTAAAACTGACGACGGCAATGAAGTCCAAGTGGAGGTCACCTGGTACCCAGAGCAAATAACCAGTGAAGAGGCTGATTTTATTAGTGGTCCATGGGACTGGGACTGGCTGCCGGAGCAAATAACCAGTAAAGAGGCTGATGAGATTAGTACTCTGACAGAACAAAGTGGTCCATCGGAGGTAAAGGAGGACTATCTAATTGCTTGCGCCAACCATTGAAGACACATTTCATTGCATATATACATATATCTCTTTCCTTCTTGTTTTAACTAAATTAACTCCGGTACTACATATATGCAGGTCACAACGGTGTCTGAGGAATATCAAACTGAAGTAGTTTACACCATTGGAGATGATTTGTCGTTCCTTCCATTCATCATGGATCTACGTCGCATCGCCGCCAACCACCGAGACCAACGCGAGGATATCTTGGATCGTCACTCTAATTCAAATCTCCGATCCACCCGAGAACACCCATTGCTCCCCAAGCAGCGTGCTGGACAACCGGCGAGGCGGCTTCACACCACGATGCTGTGGAGGGCGATGAAACGTCGTCGACAACACTCACTACGTGAAAAACGGTTTATAGCAACGGGACAAATTTTTTTGTAGGGGCGGCTGGTGATGGAGCCCGAGCCGCCCCTACAGTGACGTGCTCGGGAGCCACTAGACCAGCCGCCCCTACAAATGGCACAGTAGGGGCGGCTAATAATACGAGCCGCTCCTACAAATGGGATCGATTTGTAGGGGTGGCTCACTCACCGGCCGCCCCCGGTGTTACGATTTGTAGGGGCGGCTCAATCACCAGCCACCCCTACAAATCACTTGTACAGCAATATCTCCCACCTCTCCCCCTACTCATCGCAAAAAAAACTCTCCCATCCGCTCCCTCTCTCGCTCTCTCACGAGGCGCGCCGGCCGTCACCGGTCCCGCTCCTGCCGCCTCTGCCCCCGTCGTCCCTTCTTCTCCCTCTCTCCCGACGTGGTGGCGTGCTGGCCCCCTCGTCCGTCTCTGCTTTCACCTTCGCCTCTCTCTCGTGATGGCGCGGCGCACCGGCCGGCAAACGGCGTGGGCGGGACGGCAGCGCACGGGCGCCAACGAGCCCCCGCAGGTGGCCGTTGCCGCGGCTGCCACCCCTGACACGACTTCCTCCCACCGGTCCGCGTGCGCTCCTGGGCTCGATGAAACATCGAAACCCTAGGTGCCTGTGTTCGACACCTCCGTCTGCACGCGCGTGGCCTCTTCCTCGGTGGATCGGCTTGGCGGCCAGATCTGGAGGTACCTCACCCTCTTCTTCTCTGTCTCATGGCTCGTCACCTAGATCCGTCCTCCGTCTCATGGCTCCTCACCCAGATCCTCCCTCCCTCCATCTTCCCCTTTGCGCAGTGCAGGACAGCTAAGGCTGAAGCACCGACCAACCAGGGAGGCAACAGTAAACGAGCAAGCTACAACGGCAAGCACCAAGTACCTCAAATTTTAAATGTAGGAAGTAAGTACCGATGAATAACTATGGTATTATTCTGATTTTTAGAAGACAACCATGGTCTAAATGGTTTTTCCTATACTCTCATCATTCTTCTGGAAATATATTTTCCATATTTAATTAGCTATGTATGTTTATACCTCTTATAGCTTAGCAAAATAGTATAGTGGTGGTGCATGCTATATTTATCCCAAATATTTCCAATATGTACCATCCCGACCTTCGTAAATATATTAGGTTCTCTGTCTTTTGGATTGGGACAGACAGAGTACTTGAGAGCCTTGTCATATGTGGTTCTAAGCCTACCACCATGTATGAACTTTTATTTAGCCTTGCCAACTGTGTGGGCTCTCACTAATGAATATTTTTTTCATATATATAGCTGTTGTCATATGTATGAACTCCTACTAACCATGACAAAAAAAGATTCATCCATATAAAGAAGGGATATTGCTGCATTAATTTATTTTTTTCTACTAGTACCACTTTCAGTAGAGAAGTTTTTAAGTGATTTGTAAGGAGCTACACATATCACTATGCAACCAATGTCTCCATTTGAGAAAAGAAAGATATGCCGATTGAATGACCCACCTCTATCATCTTATGCCATCAATCTCTTTTCGTATACTACTATGAAAAAAGAGATATCCTTTTACATTTAGTACCACGTTGTACTCTGCTTTGGAGACATTACTTCCGGAAGAGGAACGGATGACGGTGTATTGCATGGACCTCTTGCATACCATGGCATCATCATACAGAAATCCATGTATATAATCTCTCATACGCTTGTTGTGTTTCCCTGTCTGAACTAATAGTATATATAAGCATATGGCCAGACTGTTTCTTTTCCATCTTTAAGAAATGTCAAATAGGAACTTCTGCATGAAAAAAATATCTTCATTGGTAACTTTCATGGCTGATGGTTGCTGGTATATTTCTATTTTTTCATATCAAGTTCAATTACTTATTCTAGCACTGTTTTGTTCATAGGTGGTGGAAGCGGACATGAACCTGCCCATGCTGGATTTGTTGTGCCAGGGATGTTGACCGCTACTGTTTCTGGAGATGTTTTCGCTTCTCCACCTGTTGATTCTATTTTAGCTGTATGTTTCTTTTTTAGTAAAACAATGTCTAGCTTCTTAAGTAGCATAAATCATCTTAGCTGACATTTAACTGCATCTTCTCACTGTAGGCTATTCGAGTCAGAATGGTCCCCACAGGGTGCCTTCTAATAGTAAAGGTACTCTCACAGTGATATCAGCTTTAAAATGTCAAATCATGAGATAAGAGAGATCTTTTAGTACACTTGAGGATTGTGCAATATGAGTATCTGATGCTTTGGGACCGTACATTGTTTATTTATTACCACATCAATAACTACCATTTCCTCCGCCTATCATCCTGTGTTCATGCATGAATGGATAGAGAGGAGGGATAACATTTGCTTTTCTGAAATTTGCTTGGGACATATCAATTTTAGTTCAATAAGAAGTCTGCGGTACATCTATATTTGTTTTGAAAGGGGCCAAACTGTGGGTTGTTTTGGATAAATATGTATGCTTGATGTAGGGATACTGGTACTTTTCTCCATTATTTTTAAACTGCAGTGCTCCATTTTGTTCAATTTTATAAGTGTAAACTGTGAAGCATTGCACTGCTCTCATCTTACTAAGCTTCATTTCTTCTTACCTTCAATTGCCAAACATTTGCTGAACTGTGTGCAGTGTCGATTAATTATTTAGAAAAGACAAAAACTATAGTTTGTCTCAGCTTTGAGGTTCTCCTTTCTGTTCCAGACATATCCTTTTTTCCTGTTTACCAAAAAAAAGCAGCATATTTTTATTAAGACAAGCCTGGATTACAGAAGAGATAAGGATGACAATGGAGGTTGAATGCGTATTACAAGGAATGAGGACAAATCCTCTCCTGGGATGGTTTTCCATAGTGGAACATTATACGACTTTATCTGTCTCACACTCTCAGTAACTGCATTTTGTAAAATAGGGACTTTCTATGGCAGTATGGCTAGCTTGGCCGCTATTAATTATTCATTTGGTGGCCTTGCATCCTTGCACAGTATCTTCCTATCACAAGGGGTTGCAGTGCTGTTCTCCTAGTGAATGGGTAATACAAATCTGAACATTTCTCGCCACTGTATAAATTGAATAATATTTGCGGAATAGGTAGCACGAGGTTAATTGTATCTTGTATGTGTTCCCTATCTTTTCTTCATCTTTCATGATGAGCAAGTTCGCATTTTCAATCTTGGTTAGTTGGTTTTGGTGATCTCATTGCTCATTCTTTTTATGGGTTACTGTGAAAGTTGTTTCCTGTAAACTTATCCCGGATATACAACACTAGACTTGCAGTGAAAAAATTATCATACATGGGAAAGCAACAACAATTTAAAAATTATGAGCATGTTTCAGTTGGAGACTTCTACCTCCCCGCGTCATACATCAAAGGGATCTGGTTAGAAGGTTGCATATTAATGTCATGTGGCTCGGATAGGCTAGAGACTTGGAATAGCCGGAAGGGCTCACAGGATTGAGTCAGACATAGCATTAGAAATATTTTTTTCTTTTTTCAAATTTAACTTTGGCCTCCGTACTACATTAATTACTTTTGCTTATTAGTTGTTACAAAATGTATTTAACGCTATATATGAGAGGATTGAGAGCTTATGGCAGCATGGTTATAATATTGTCTATCCATATAAATCGTACTTAGATTAAAATTCACTTTTTCTGATGATCTCTTTGAAAGTGTACATTACTTATTTACATTATAACCGTAGCTATTTCCTTTCTCCCCACTTTGTTCTAAATTGAGTACAGTTTGTAACTTTGTTCTTTAACCCCATCTCTAATGTGCAGATTAGGAGCCACTCCTATCATGGAACTTATGATCGCAGCGAGAAAAACAGTTCTTGAGTTACAATTGGTGTATGGCATTGCTGTTGTGTACACTGGCACACTTATGACATTATACGACTTTATCTGTCTCACACTCTCAGTAACTGCATGTTGCTATTGCAGTAGCGTTTAACTAGTTTATTCATGATCTTTGCTTCTGGGTCACTTCTGGTGTTGCTATGCGAACATAATTGTAACGTTCACTTAGGTAGAAATCCTTAGGACCAACACCTTGTGCTCTTGTGCTTGTGGTCAGATTTGAATTATATATATATATATATATATATATATATATATATATATATATATATATATATATGTTCCGATCGAATTTGAATTGTAAATTTGAAAAAAAAAATTTATGGGAAAACAAACTGTAGGGGCGGTTCTAGATTGAACCGCCCCTACAAACAAGTATTATAGGGGCGGCTAGTAACACCAGCCGCCCCTACAAAATCGATTTGTAGGGACGATCTAGGAACCGCCTCTACAAATACATGATTTATAGAGACGGTGTGGTAGAGGCGGCTGGCCAAACCGCCCCAACAAATGGTCTTGAGCAGCCCCTACAAACCCTTTATGTAGTAGTGACTAGCCATGCAGGATGACAACTTGTACGTCCATGGCTTCATGAACCAGCAAGGAGTTTGGTACGGGCTTGTGGGCGACCCTATTGGAACAAGCGCGTGCTTGCTCCCACCAGAATACAATCCAGAACCTCTACACTGGGGCGGCATTGGGTACAGTAGGTTACTGAGAGCCAGAGCGTATTCTGAAGCCGTGGCGAAACTGGCAGCCACGGATATGGGCCGAGGCTTAGCGATGCACGCCGTGCGCAGGCTCTCAAGATTCATCCAGCCAGATGACGTGGAGGTGGATGGTCTGATGAGCACCAGGCTGGCACTGGCGGGCCTCATGTTCATGGTCTGCGAGTCTGCAAGGACGAATCCTATCCTCGAGTCCTTTGCAGGTGGCTGGAGTACTGGCACGGGATTCACCAAAAAATTGATCACTGATTACGTGTGGAAATATGCGGAGATGTCAAGGAGTCAGCGAGAGTGGAAGCGAAGAAACTATACGGAACCAATCCCCTATTCGGAGCTGCGTGCCATTCACCTCAGCTCGTGCTCAACAGACCCAGCATCAGGCCGGCTCGTGGCGTCGACGTGTAGTAGTGGGGCGTTGTCGTCGATTCAGGGTGCGGGTGCGGCCGTGCCCTGGCCCCTGGGTGTCGCTACGGCAAATCATCAGGTTATTTGTTTCCCTTTTCTTCTCACAAAAAGTGTCCACATAAGGGCCCCTGCATGTTTGCCAGTATCATCAGTTATCCTATTCATGTTTTTCCTTCTTTTACTCATCATATATAAATAAACCAGCCATGTTCTCCAGATGTGATGCGTCTGATCATTTAAGCTAGTGTTTGGTTTGATCCTGTACAACCTGACAGTACAGGTATATATCAAGAAACAATATTGCCAGTGTAAACTCTACTATTTGGTTCAGCATGTAATAACTTGGTTTGGTTGCCCTTGTCTTGTAACAAATCATGTCATGGATTGGTCTATCATTGTGATACGTAGCTCTCGCGTGCCTCGGACGGCCTGATCAAAACACTAGTCGCGCGCTGTCCTAGATAAGCAAGGGCCCTGCATGTTTACCAGATCGTATCAGTTACGCTTTTTCTTTTCTTTTTCTTTTTCTTTTCCTTTTCTTCTTCTGCTTAGGGCGTCCTCGGCGGGTTTGAGGAAATCGCTAGCGACGTGGGCTTCAAGAACAATAGAAAAAGGACATCAGAGCGCAGGGCCGAGAGGGCTGTGAGAAAGATTTTTTTTGAAAACCGTGCGAGACTAGCTAGGCCATATTTAGTTACTCCAAAACTTCTAAAAAATACACTATGTAAAAAGAAGATTCTTCGTCACATCAAACTTGCGGTACATACATGAAGTACTAAATGTAGACGAAATCAAAAACTAATTGCACAGTTTGGTTGTACTTTGCGAGACGAACGTTTTGAGCCTAATTAGTCAACGGTTGAACAATTATTACCAAATACAAACGAAATGCAACAGTGTCGCTACATGAATTTTGCCACTCCAAAGTTTGGGAAGTAAACATGGCCCTAGTTGTTTCTCGCTAGTGCGGGCTCTGAACCTCCTGCAAGGCCAATAAGATTTCGTCTCTGCAGGCGATTTGATCCCTGTTGGGCACGCCCTTACATATAGGGATGCAAACGGGGCAGGCCCAGCCGCGCGAACCCGCTGGGCTACCCGCACCGCGACACCACGTGTCGTAAACCCACACCGCAAGCCAGGCCGAAGCCCGAAGCCCGAAGCCCGAAGATGGAGAATTTAAAGGAGGCCAATTGGAAGGAGAAGCGATGGCTGTTGCATGCGAGCAGCAGTGGTGAACGGACAGCTCGCATGCTCCTCAACCATTCGGTTGGTATCTCCGTGTGGGATGTAATGCACTACTACAGAATTTAACTGTAGGGGCGGCTCTAGAGCCTCTGTAGGGGCGGCTGCGCCAGCCGCCCTTCCCAGGGTGTTCCTACAGAGGGTGCCTCTGTAGGGGCGGTTTCCTGACCGCCCCTGCAGTTCCCTCTGTAGGGGCGGCTGGTGTTTTCAGCCGCCCCTACAGCGCCCTCTGTAGGGGCGACTGGTGTTTTCAGCCGCCCCTACAGTGCCCACTGTAGGGGCGGCTGGTAATATCAGCCGCCCCTGTAGTGGACTTCTGTAAGGGCGGCTGTATCACCAGCCGCCCCTGCTGTGTGTATCTGTAAGGGCGGTTCAATCAAGAACCGCCCCTACAGTGGATTTTCCAGCAAAAAAAATATATAATTCAAATCAAGTAACAACAATCTTTTCTCAACTCTGACATATATTTAAGCATTTTCAGGAAGTACACCAATTCACACTAAACATTTTGACACTGGTTTCACAAAAATCACAGCAAGTAAATACAACTAGAATAATAAAGTTCAAACATTTGCTCTAGCCAATACTGAAAATTCAGTACATTTGATGCAGTCACAACTACACATGCAGATATTGCTACTGCTAAGAAATCTCCATGGAGACAAATAATTGTTAAGAACAATCATGCAATGACAGCTACAGGGAAAACCAATTTCAACAGAGATAGATTCATTACATATGAAAGCCCTCACCTTGAAGATAGAAGCTAATATGGGGTACAATCTGCCTATATTTTCCTTCGTGAAGATAGAAGCTATAAATGCGGGCCTCTTTCATGAGGTTTCGGGCTTTTGTGCAACGATTGCTCGAAGCTTTTGGCCTTCCACCACACTATCTTTTGGCCTAAGTCGTACATTTGCTGCTTGCATACCTACATGAGAAAATAGAACAAAGAATCAATTACTAAGCGTATGAATTCGGCATGACTCAGGTAAAAAAACAGTCAGCAAGGTTGTAAGCATGTAAAAATAAATTGAGCTAGAAATCCCAAGAACATATCGGTGTTGCAAACTTCTTTTATGGTTAGCAATGAATCACAGTGTTCATGGAAATGGAAATTAGCAAGTATTGATGGAAATCAACACAATCCAGTATTAAATCAGGTCGAAAAAGAGGTAAACTGAAAACAGGCGGAATTCTCAAGAACTTATTTTGTAGTATCTGATTTGATCAGGTAATAGATGGTCAGTACCTTAGGTGAAACAACTCTACTGGTATCTAGTATTGTGTATTGCATCAGCGTACAAGCACAACAACTTTAGCAGATATATTCTTTAAAGATGATGACATAGCAGGCCGTCCTAACATAGCATTGATTAAAAAATTAAGCAACTAGTTCACGGAACAGATAACTAATAGAAGCACCTTTTTGATGAGCAGGGCAAAATAGCACAAATCCCTTGGACTTTCATCTACAGCCTGGACATGACAGAGGCACAGAAGAAAGTGCCCAAGTTCATCAATAACTCCTTTAGTCTTTGGATCTTGTAAGCCTTAACTTGTTTACTTATCTGTATTATAAAGAACAACGGCAAGTGAGTGAATAATAACTTATATTTGTACTACAACATTGTAAATAAACCCAGGAACAATGATAATCATTTAGATAGTAGTTATTTTTTAAATGACTTCCTAAGTGAAAGAAAACAATTGTCAGATACTAGTTATTACTTATATTACTATAAACTTAAAATTGTAGATGAAATATTGCATTGCATTTAGCTATATGGATAAAAGACCAAGACTCTACAATGGCCTATGCTATATTAGTCTAAAATCAGCGTGTGGACACGCACGGTGGAGAACAAACATCATTTAGTTTTATATGTGTGCTGGAATAATGCTAGAGTCGAGATTAGTTCATTTTAGATAGAAGAATACTTTGCTCTATTTCATTCATCATGAACATCCGAAAAAAACACTACTAGAGCATTAGAGATTCATGGATTTATACATCTACCAAGGCAACATCTAGTGTAAAAAATGGCTCTACTAGATTCCAAAATCACAACCAAACAGAACCCAAGCTGGACAAAGCAACCACCAAATAGTGCTGATGCATCACATTCACATGTAGATTAGAGAGCTAAATTACGTACATTAATAATACATTATCTAGAAGCTAGACTAAATTACGTATGATTTGTCAATATATATTTATA